TGCTGGCAGAACTGTGCAGGGAAGTGGGCAAGAGTTAACTAGGATCGACTTGGCTCAAGCCATCATTAATCTAATTCCTCAGTCTCGTGACCATTAGATTCACCTTTTCAGTTTAAAGTGAAAAATCACATGCAAGCTTCAGCCAGTGCAATAATTTTAAGGAAGGGTTGTTTTGCTATCAAGTGCAAGTGAGCTCATTTTAGATCTTGCTGAGAAGAGGCTTCACCAAGAGTAGTCTAGTTCTCTGAAACACTGTAGATCACAGCTCTCACCCTTTTTCTTTGTGATGCCCCCCATACATGGTATGAAAACTCCATGGCCCACCTGTGTCACAGTAACTGTTTTTCTGCATATAAAAGCCAGGTTTGGAATTAGGGGGCAAGCAGGGCAATTGCCTGGGGCCCCATGCCACAGGGTCTCCCACGAAACTACATTGCTCAGGCTTCAGCCCTGGGTGGCAGGGCTCAGGGCCCTGGTCTTAGGTGAGCAGGACTTTCTACCCTGGGCCCCAGTGAGTCTAATGCTGGCCCTGCTTGGTGGCCCAAGGGACCCCGGACCCCTGGTTGAGAACCACTGCTGTAGATGACACCATAGGTATGTGACTGCCTAAGTCCTCATATATAATAATTTTGGGGATACCTAATTATTTTAATGACAGACCTATTGTAAAACATAAAGGGCCAAATTCAATTCAATTTACACCCATGCAAACCTACTTGAAGTCAGATTTAAGTATTTGGCCCTATGAGTGCAAAAAGATTTTCCTCCCAATCCTCTCCAAGAGTAAAAGTAAAGAGAAAAATGCTCAATCAAAGGCATCAGATCCAGGTGATGTGTTAAGTATGTTTCATAGAAAGTGAAAAATTGGAAAGACACATTCAGGGTAGTCTTCCTCAGAGTCACTGTCTAAAGGGAGTGGTGAGAGAAAGTATCATCTAACTACTACATCTGTGCCAAAGCATCAAAGCCATTAAAAAAGAACCATTACAAATCAAGCAGGAAGCTGCCAAGTGGACAATCTGATGTAGAGTAATATTGGAAATGCAGAAATCATTTGAATGCATCTTAGCCACTTGCACACAGCGCTCCATGTTAAGGAGATACTAGAAAGGGCAGGCAGAGTAGTTCTAAACAGGATTTTAAAAATTCACCTTTCGATACACTAATGAATGTAAAGTTGCTAATGGAACCCGTTGGAATAGAAAACCACTAGCAATTTTTGTTGAAGCGAATGTAGAGAAAACTTTATTCATCTGCTGGTGACACTAAAATTGCAAAGGATTCTCAATTGCTTAATATCAAGACGGATACAGTGAAAAAATAATTGGCAATTTCCTATTTGTATTATTTTCATTTTAAAATGTTTATAAATGTGTATTTCTATATGAGACTTCTCTTTTGTGCTACACTTTGGCTAAAAGTTAACTTTACAATCAGTTTGTTACTGTTTATACAGCATTTTGAAAAATGTAAAGCATTACACAAGTGCTAAGTATTATTAGGAAAAAATTGGATTGTTAATATTCTTCTTTATTATGTATCTAGTATCACATGCATGGCACTTTACAAGCTTGAATCCATCGTGTCCTTGAATATAAAAGAAGTTAAGTTCCAACCGTTTGACCGCACTGTAAAGTAGCGGTCTCAGTCTGGAATCTTGTGGACTTGCTTGTGCATTAGACCGTTTGCTTTTATTTTATTTAATACAGAGCTTACAGAAAGAAGGTGCCTGCCTGACATTGCCACAGGTGTTAGGAACCCCAGAAAGGGCTCGTATGGACTGCTCAGCTCTTCTGTCATTATCAGCTAAAAATGCTGCTGCCAAGAAGGGCTGTTTGCCTCTTGCAGGAATGCAAATTAGTTCTCCCATCAGGGAAGTAACGTTTTTAAGTGAGCAGGGCAGTACTGTATGTATACTTTATTTAGTACTAATTTATGGTATTAGAACAGGGGTTCTCAAACTGGGGGTCGGGACCCCTCAGGGGGTCATGAGGTTATTCCAGGGGGGGTCACGAGCTGTTAGCCTCCAGCCCAAACCCCGCTTTGCCTCCAGCATTTATAATGGTGTTAAATATATAAAAAGGTGTTTTTAATTTATAAGGGGGGGGTCGCACTCAGAGGTTTGCTATGTGAAAGGGGTTACCAGTACAAAAAGTTTGAAAGCCACTGGATTAGAAATAGTGATGGCAGTTTTCATATAAACTAGTAATTATCCACAACAGCAGCAAAATATAGACTCAAGTGTTAGTCTCTGCTGTTCCTATCTACACAGTGTCCTCTGTAAAAGCAGCATACAACTCAACAGGGAGGCACCTCAGATAGTGTCTGATCTTGTGGGGAAAGGAAGAGAAAGGCCAAAATACAAAGAGAGTGGGCTCCAAAAAAAAAAAAAAAAAAGAGACACGAGGAACGCGAGACAAAAACCCAATGGCAACAAAGAGGGGGAGAAGGAGCCAGAAAAGAGAGAGAGAAAAATAAAAAACAAAAGCAAGTTGTTTAATTTTAGGATGGAAATTGCATCTGACTTTCTTCCGGATACACATCTAATTAACAGTAATCTTAAACTGACTTAGTAACTTGGAGAGATAGCCTCCCCATTACAATTTTGGAATCCCCTTCATTCACAAGTAGATTTTGGCAGATGGTGGTGCAAAGGAAGAACCTGACAGACAAAAATAAAAATAAAGCCTTAAATATTCTTGGGTTCCTTCCTAGGGGCTGAAAAATGCTGCATATACTTATTCAAGGAGACTGACTAACTCTTGCTCCCTTACACACACAGTACACACAAGAAAGGTTCCTAAAGTGACCAGTCTGAACTCCACAAAAGACATGTGTCCGAATAATCATATTGCTAGACGGTGCTTATGAAACTTGTCGCTTTAGCATTTTGTTTCTCAACAAAATACAGGAAGGCAAACATCAGTTTATGCCTGAACTACCTTTACATTGTTAGCTTTACACATACTACAGGAGATATTTTTCTTACCTAACCTAATTTTAGGCACGGTACAGTGGGCAGACAACAGCTATGTAGTCTTTTTAATCACTACTCTACATATAACACTACTAAGCAATTATTTCTATGTCTTTGGAATAAAAGACGAATGCATTTTGCTCATGGACTTCAGAAGATGTTCTTTGTATTGCTGGGAAAATCAGGGTCAAGATAAATGCTTTCAACATATATTTAATGGCCATTTTAAACATGGATTAGGTATGAACAGTTGGATGTGCTCTGGAATAAAACAGCACTTACAAATGTCACTGTCTTTGAATCCATGTGTACTGATCCTTCAGGATCCTTTGACCGTTTTAAACCAAAATGTTAGATTAAAATATACCTTGGGATGCTTAAAAAAGCCAACATGAGCTACTTTTGAAGGGATTTATAGGAAGGAAAGTCCTGCATTGGGCAAGAGATTAAAATAATTTTACAAAATTTAAACTTAGAAACTAGATTGTATGCACACCATATTAGGAGCAAGATTTATGTTGAAGGTGATGTCACAAAACACACACACACACACACACACAAAGCTCCCCTACTAGTAAATCCGTAAAGGCTGATCCTACGAGGTGCTAGGTGTTGAGCATCTTCAACTCTTCAAGAAGTTATTGGGAGTTTAGGGCATTCAGAACGCTCAGAAATACTCAGCACTTTGTTGGAGGATCTGTCCTAAATTAATACCAGCAGTGAGAACCACTCACTTGTCTTACCAGTCATAGTGAAGATGCAGTGAAGATGCTACTTATAAATGGACAGGTATGTGTTAAAAGAATTAGACTACAAACAGCCAGTTCTCAATAAAGTAAGCAACAAACTTGCCTAAGGGCACGGCTACCATTATACCTATGGAGATATACCTATCTATCTCATAGAACTGGAAGGGACCCCGAAGGGTCATCAAGTCCAGCCCCCTGCCTTCACTAGCAGGACCAAGTACTGATTTTTGCCCCAGATCCCTAAGTGGCCCCCTCAAGGATTGAACACACAACCCTGGGTTTAGCAGGCCAATGCTCAAACCACTGAGCTATCCCTCCTCCCCCCCTCTGCCATTAGTAAGGCAATTGATATAATCATCTTCCTAATTAACATATTAAAAATAAGTCTTTCAGTGGTGGATGACAATTTGAATACATTAACCTCAACAATATTCAGCTGGGCCTTGATCCTTGATGTATGGTTAGTCCATCATTACAAAGCTTTAAAATAAATGCCTTCTTTTAAATCAATGATGCTGTAAGCACATTAAAGCATTCCAAATATTTCTTGATTTTTCTTTTTGGATATACTCAACCAACCAGAGTGGGGAGAACAATCTGAAACATTTCCCCAGTGGCAGCAAACAATAGACGATACCAGTGGAGAAATAAAAGCAGATCTGAAGCCTTTTAAGAGAAAAAGAATGAAAGAATGGTCTCCAAATCATCCTACTTCCCTATTAAATGCCAAATGCCAAGAACAGGAGCAACCTCTAGACATGAAAGGAGAAACTCATTTTTGTTCTGTAAACATTCCACAGCAGGTGTCACAGGATGTAGCTAGGTTAGCACCTATACCAATGTCTACGGAGGCGGTGTTCCCCCCCCCCACCAGGAAATATGTTTTATAACAATTTTATGCAGCAATTTTGCATTTCCTATAAAGGATTTTCAGCAATTTTAAACACTGATTACTACATAGTAAAAAGGAGACTAATTCCCTTTCAATGAAGAGAGTTATAAAGGATAGTAACACGTAGGTACATGTATAGCATTTGTGACAGAAAATTTATGTTTGCTACATAGCCTATGTCAGACATTAGGTAAGAGATGACAACTTCATACAAATTTAAAAAACTCCATTATAATACAGCACTCCTCTGGATGTTTTCAAAATTTTGGCACATTTAAAGAGAAAGAAAGATGACGACTCCAAAAAAAAATAAGAATGAAGGGCATTAAAACAATGAGAAATCATAATAAAACCCCTTCCTGAAATGAGAAATAAACAGTGGTAACAAGGAATAAAGATAGAGAAAGGATGCTAGTTGCATTTCCTGAAACGTCATGTGGAACAAAGTATGCCTGGATCACAGGGCTGATTCCTTTCTAAAGGCCAGGCTTCTCTACCTTGCTGTAGCTGGTTGGACATGACCAGGGTAAGATCTCCTTGTGCTGGTGGCTTGCCTTTGTCTAGCCAGGAAGGACTGTCCGGAGCCTGTACTAGCCAGTCTATCTTCTGCTGCTTTTTTATGCAGAGTCATTCCCTATGAATAAAGACAAACTCATTAGTGAATATTAGTGCATACTACTCAACATGGTGTCCATTTACCACTTGTCTTTCCTTTGCGTTATCAGCACCATCTAACCTGTTTGGGTCTTTGACATTTTGCCAGAGAATTGTGTGAAAAATGTGTATTTTTGCAAGCGTAAAAAGGCTGCTTTACTTTCAAAGTTTGTAGTAATCATGCAAAACAGTTTCAAGGATTGTAAGTTATGCCCTCCCATACTTGAGCATGCTTTTCTGCATGCAGCCTTACATTGCCTGGGCACTCTTTTTTTTTTTTTTTTTTAAGTTATTTTCAAATAAAATTAAGGTGCATCTCTCAACTTTTAGAAATGCATTTCTCCCACATGGAAATATCAGCAAATGATAAATGGCAGGAATTTGTTCTGAGAGAAAACACTGTTTGCTGTTGATGGTTGCAGCAGGAGCTAATTGGCCATGCTGTCTCCTGACTGCTGATTGACTGGGAGAGATGAAAAATAAAAACTCCTGACAGCAGGAGCTCAGACAGGCCAAACTGAGGGAAGCAAAAGACAGAGACACTGTCCTGGGCAGTGGAGAAGAACAGAGGCCTAACCTGGAAGGAAGAAGCAGCTGAAGCTATAGCCACCCATCTGTACCTGCAGAATAGCCAGCCAGCTGAACTAGCAGCATTCCCACTTGGGCCTTGTCTGTACCAGCAAACCATCCCAGGGCAGACTCAGCTTATACCAGCCGAAGAGTTCTTTTGCCAGTATGCTTTATAACAGTCCCTAAACAAAATAAACCATATCAGCAAAAGCACTTTTTTGCTGGTCTAACTGCATCTCCACTAGGTCTTCTGCTAGCATAGTTATGCTGGTTAGGAATCTGACTTTTTCACCCTCCCAACAGGCATAGCTATGCCGACAAAACTTTAAAGTGTAGACAAGGCCTGAGAAACAAGGAGGCTTAAAGGGACCCGGTCATTTCAGAGAAAAAAAGAGCAACAGAAACTTGTGAGGGGAACAGGAAAAAGCATGGTTATTTCCATGCTGCTGTGACTATATACAGCCCTTCATAAACTCGTGCCACACAAAATCTCTGGCACATGGAATTTACAAACCAACATATATGATATAACAGGCAACACTTTGAACACAAATGGGGAGGGGAGGTCTAGCAGTTTAAGTACAGGATTTGGAATCAGGGATTCCCGGGTTCAACATCCAGCTGTCACTCACTTGCTGTGTGACTTGGGGCAAGTCAATACCTTTCTGTCTCCGACTCTAAAATGAGACTGGGAATTCCTTCCCTCAGAGGGGTTTTGTGAGGATTAATGGGATGATGTTTTTCAGAACATGAGAACGGCCATATTGGGTCACACCAAAGGTCCATCTACCCCAGCATCCTGTCTTCTGACAGTGACCAATGCCAGGTACCCCAGAGGGAATGAACAGAACAGGGAATCATCCAGTGATCCATCCCCTGTCATCCATTCCCACCTTCTGGCAAACAGAGGCTAGGGACACCATCCCTGCCCATAGGGTGACCAGACAGCAAGTGTGAAAAATCGGGACAGGGGGTGGGGAGGTCTATTATTATATAAGAAAAAGACCCAAACATCGGGACTGTCCCTATAAAATGGGACATCTGGTCACCCTACCTGCCCATCCTGGCTCATAGTCATTGATGGACCTATCCTCCATGAACTTATCTAGTTCTTTTTTGAACCCTGTTATAGTCTTGGAATTCACAAATTGTAAACTGTTTTGAACGTGTGAAGTGCTATTCAAGTATGTCGTGAGATGAGAACTCATTTGTTTATCCTTAACCATAGCTGCTGTATCTGAACTATTAACATCATATATATATAGGTAATTGTGAATGCTTGTATGACAGAGTTTTCAGGTTCATGTCACATAGAGGAGAAAATGCCTATCACTACAACAGACTGAGCCTTCCCCCTCTAGTTTGTTGACTTTGATAATCTGAGGGCATTTGATGTACAGACCCTTTCACTGGTTTGCTGGTCAGCTGCACTGCTCTGGGGGGAGTTCACATGCACATTCTTCCCCAGGCCTGCAAATAGGGTATTGACAAGTCAGGGAACAAGGGAAGAGGCAGCAGGCAAGCATGGGCACAGAAAAGATGGGAAAGTGAGTGGACTCGAGGATGTTTGGTGCTGTCACTTTCTACAAGAGCCTTCTGAATACTGCAGGCGAGCAGAAAAATCCTTAGAAGTATAAAGGAGTTTTTACAAAACTATTTCAGACCACACTATTTAAAACGTGATCTGTTGGGGACTGGAAAAATACAAAATGATGCAATTTAAAAAAATTAAAGTGGTCATTGTCCCTTTAAATGTTAATTGGATGTTTTATCTCCAAGTGAGTAGGCATAACATTAGGAAATTGTGCAAAGTCATCTGAAATTGCTTTCCTATACCAAAGGTTCAAATGATCAAGCTAGGATGTGGTGGAGCATTGTTTCCTCTTTCCTATTAATGAACATAAGAGAGGGAGCATATTGGCCATCAGGCATCTTAAGGGAAGGGACCTGGGAGGGATTCAAGCTCCATTTTGGGACATTGACATACCACAAGGGTCAGAAATTCCATCTATCAGGAGGGTGGTTCCGAAGGGGCCATGCCCTCTGTCATGGGTAACTCTGGTTCACTCAGGGTGCAAAGAGCTGGCAAAAGCACGTGGCCCTACTTTATGCTGTACTTTGAGGATGTAAGTGGTGCATCAGCCTTGCGTTTTGTGCACGTTCCCTTGGATGTTCCTTTTATATACTTCGGGGACAGCTTCATGTATTGGAAGGAGGGAGTGTTGTTTTTACCTGTATAACCACCATTACTGTACTCTGGTTAAATTCCCCCTTGGTTTTCTCAAATATGGTTCTCTCTGCTATGTTTGGAGAAACTGTCTGTACCATTTCTGATTAACAAAACTAATTATGCATAACTTGGCTAAGTGCCATGGTAGGGGACCATAAGAGTCAATAACCAGTGCCTAGAGCCCCTTACAGAGACATTTTAATGAAGTATAAATAAATACACTGAAGGTTGTAAGCAACCAAGGAAGGAAAACCAGCTTGACTTTTATATTGTGAACTCATGTTTAACCTGATTTCTGTTATCAACATGATCTCTTTCAGCATTTTGTGCGTCTACTTTAAATTATGGCAAGCATAGCTAGAAGGTAAAGGTACATGGTTTATTTATTTATATTTTTTAGTGTTGACTTGTTTATAGATTACTGAGACAAATTCACCCATCTGTCTGTGTGCACACAGGACAGTATTTTTTTCCAAACAACTATATTGTAATTAAATGAAAAGGGCTCAGGATAAATGCCACACAAACACCACCAACAAAGACTGACAATTATAACCCTAATACTGTTTGGAGCATCTTACCATATTGTACCAGGCACTCACAATAAATTTCTCCTCCATCTCTCTTTGAGTCTTTGTTTTCTCATATTCTTTCTAGGAGGGGGGAGGGTGGGGAAAACAAAAACAAATTTAAAGCTGTATGACAAGAATGGATAATATGTATTAGACAGACACTGTTTGAACCCCAAACGTCTGGATTCATAGATTCCAAGGCCAAAAGGGACCATTGTGATAATCTAGTCTGACCTCCTGTGTAACATAGGCCCGAGCACTTCCCCAAAACTATTCCTAGAGCATATCTAGCAAACATGGAAAAAATTTGGAAAACCTAGAACAACCAAGAGAAAATGTGCAGATTGTTACCTCTAATGAATGAAACATTCGGTCCCGTTCCTGCAGTTGATTTTTCAGAGCCTGAATCTCAGGAGCTGTGCCCTGGTTTTGTTTAGGATCTAAAGTACGGATAACCTGCAAGATGCAAACACAACAGTTCATTTAAGTAAACATTACAAAGCGATCTCACCAAATACATCTAGATAACATAAAAGGCACCAAGCGCCAAGGGATTATAACCATCCAAAATAGGTCTTAAGAAACATTAAAGTCCTTTAAAGTAGGTACTTGTGTTAAGTTTCTTAAAACCATCCCACATATTTACAACACAATGTGAGAAGAACACACTATTCTAAGATGCAGTATCCTTTCATCCAATCACATCCACCCTGCTAGGTCAGTCAGTGGTGGTGAACATCCTGCCACTGCCTGACTTCACCATGTAGGGTGATGTAAACTGAATCCCACTCAAGAGATGCCATAGCATCTGCTCTCTGCTGCTTCTTAAGGGACTCCATCAAAACAAAAAGCTGCTGGTGGGAGAGAGAAAGCGCGAAGGCTTGATGTCTTGGACTCAAGAATATAGAGTCAGAGAGAACTAGTTCTTCTCCAGCTTCCAGTGTCAAAGAGTGAGGGTGAAGGGTATCCCTCCCTGAAGCCATTCTCCTCAGTGCTAAGGCATACATGCAGGAAACATTTCCCTCAACTTTCCACCCTGCACTCAAAGACTCCCTCTCACTGGAAAGAAATGGTGTAAGGTGACCATGACTCGGGGACTTGGAGCACCACTGTCAGTTTCTCCTGGTAGCTCTGCTGCAGCCATTAGCAGGAGTGTCGGGGAGATGAAGAATCCCCATTAAGTTTGATGGGGAGATATCTATCTAGGTTCGTATGCGGCACCTACCACAGTAGCATTTGAAAACCTATAAAAATTGAACTAAAGCAAGAGAGAGTCCAGCAAGTGGCCTAGATTTCTAATTCCATCCAAGAAAGTTGCTGGAAACTTTTTAACAGTAAACGTGTGTGTGGGTGTGTGCTCGTATGTACACAGCCACTTCACTTCCTCTTCCTATCTTCTACCTACTTCAGAACTCTGCACAGGTAATGAGGATGAAGTGATGTCGGACGCTGAAATGTCAATTAGAATATGCTGGAACAAAATCATCATTTAAGTTTTAATAAACCTCCTTTAATAGATGATATTGACGCAAGGGTCCTGAAGGAAATTAATAATGAAGTGGCTGAGCTACTAAGAGACTGTGTACTCAGTCATTAAATCTAGCCACTACTCCGGGTATAATCACTGTATCCATTTTTTAAAAAGGCTCTAGGGAAGGCTCATGGAAATATCAGTAAGCCACAAAAAAGCATAAATTAGCTGAAAAATAATTAAAGCTAGTGTTATATAAAACTCTGATTAACATGCTATGAACAGGACAAATCAGCACAGCTTATGCAAAGCGAAAAGCTTGCCTCTCTGACTTGTTAGAATGCTTTGAGAGAGTCAGTAACATAATGGATAAAGGAGAAGTGAAAAATATAATTTATTTGGACTTTCAAAAAGCCTTTGAAATCCTTCACAAGAGACTATTAAGTCACAAAAGAGGAGAGGTAAACTTCTGTCATGGACTAGAAACTCACTGATGGGTCCTAAATTAATTCTTCTCACTTAGGAGAAAGACCTAGGCATCATCACAAACAGCTCAATGAAAACATCTATCAGGGCACGCAAAAACACCAACAAGAGTTAGGGTGTATTCAGAATAGGAAAGAGAATAATAGTGAAAATACCATACTGCCATTATAACATAAGAACGGCCGTACCGGGTCAGACCAAAGGTCCATCTAGCCCAGTATCCTGTCTACCGACAGTGGCCAAAGCCAGGTGCCCCAGAGGGAGTGGACCAACAGGCAATGATCAAGTGATCTCTCTCCTGCCATCCATCTCCATCCTCTGACAAACAGAGGCTAGGGACACCATTCCTTACCCATCCTGGCTAATAGCCATTAATGGACTTAACCACCATGAATTTATCCAGTTCTCTTTTAAATGCTGTTATAGTCCTAGCCTTCACAACCTCCTCAGGTAAGGAGTTCCACAAGTTGACTGTGTGCTGCGTGAAGAAGAACTTCCTTGTATTTGTTTTAACCTGCTGCCTATTAATTTTATTTGGTGACCCCTAGTTCTTGTATTATGGGAATAAGTAAATAACTTTTCCTTATCCACTTTCTCCACATCACTCATGATTTTATATACCTCTATCATATCCCCCCTTAGTCTCCTCTTTTCCAAGCTGAAGAGTCCTAGCCTCTTTAATCTCTCCTCACATGGGACTCTTCCAAACCCCTAATCATTTTAGTTGCTCTTTTCTGAACCTTTTCTAGTGCCAGTATATCTTTTTTTAGATGAGGAGACCACATCTGTACGCAGTATTCGATATGTGGGCGTACCATCAATTTATATAAGGGCAATAATATATTCTCAGTCTTATTCTCTATCCCCTTTTTAATGATCCCTAACATCCTGTTTGCTTTTTTGACCGCCTCTGCACACTGCGCGGACATCTTCAGAGAACTATCCACGATGACTCCAAGATCTTTTTCCTGACTTGTTGTAGCTAAATTAGCCCCCATCATAGTGTATGTATAGTTGGGGTTATTTTTTCCAATGTGCATTACTTTACATTTATCCACATGAAATTTCATTTGCCATTTTGTTGCCCAATCACTTAGTTTTGTGAGATCTTTTTGAAGTTCTTCACAGTCTGCTTTGGTCTTAACTATCTTGAGCAGTTTAGTATCATCTGCAAACTTTGCCACCTCACTGTTTACCCCTTTCTGCAGATCATTTATAAATAAGTTGAATAGGATTGGTCCGAGCACTGACCCTTGGGGAACACCACTAGTTATCCCTCTCCATTCTGAGAATTTACCATTAATTCCTACCCTTTGTTCCCGGTCTTTTAACCAGTTCTCAATTCATGAAAGGACCTTCCCTTTTATCCCATGACAACTTAATTTACGTAAGAGCCTTTGGTGAGGGACCTTGTCAAAGGCTTTCTGGAAATCTAAGTACACTATGTCCACTGGATCCCCCTTGTCCACATGTTTGTTGACCCCTTCAAAGAACTCTAATAGATTAGTAAGACACGATTTCCCTTTACAGAAACCATGCTGACTATTGCTCAACAGTTTATGTTTTTCTATGTGTCTGACAATTTTATTCTTAACTATTATAATATAATATAAAACTGATGGCATACCCACACCTTAACAAGGGGTGATGGCCGAGCGACTAAAGTGCTCAATTACAAAGCCAAAGGTTGTGGGCCCGAGTTTCGCTTGATCTCATTCTGAAGGACTGCCTCCAGTTCACCCAGGTGCAAAATGGGTACCTGATCTATAGGATTAGGGAAGTAAAAGGCCACAGCAGTCCCTTGTGTACCGTTGGCTATGGAAACTGACATGTCTATAAAACTGTATCAGCCTGATGAGCCATCTGTGGCTTGAGGAAGACACTGATTTTTTTTATATCAGTTTTGGGCACCCCATCTTGAAAAGGATATAGCAAAATAGAAAAGGGGTAGAGAAGGGAATTAGAAGTGATTAGAAGCATGGGACAGCTTGCATATGAGGCTGTACTAAAAAGAAGAGAGAAATAAAAGGTGACACAATAAAGGGGGATATAAAGGAATCAATGGCATAGAGAATGGCAGTTGGGTGCCCGTATTTACCCTCTCAAATCAAGAAGAAGGGGAGACCAAAGAAATTAAAATTGATACATTATTTTTTGACACTGTGCATATATAATTAACCCATAGAACTCACTGAGGCAAAGAGCTTAATAGAATAAGCTATTTCTATGAATAGTAAGAAAATCATCTCAGTTATAACTGTCATAATAAACATTAAAAAGGGAAATTAACCCTTGTGCTTCAGACATAAACCAACCCACTAACTGACTCGAGTTGGAAGGAACTTTCCCCATGAGGCAAGTTATCACAGAATTGTTATCTTACTAGGTGCCACCTGGTGCTGGTCACAGAATACTGGTCTGGGTGAACCACTGGTGTAAATGAATATGGTGCTTCCAATGGCGGGGAGGGGAAGGGGGGTTGGTGTTTGTATAAAAGACAGATAGGTGAAGAGGGGTAGGGGGAAGTTGGTTTGCACAAACATGAATTTGAGGTAGAGGCTTCTGCAGGAAGAGAAACTTAATACTATGTAGCATATTGGTATCAAACTGAAAACTACAACAAAACCCATTAATTACCTTCCTCTCCTGTGGTGATTAACATTGTTAGATCTGTTTTATTTATTTTCATTACCACAGAGAGTGGATAAGCAACATAAAGCTCAGCTCAGAGCACCCTGCACTTACACTCTTGGCCTTTTCCAAGTACTTTTTGTATCGTTCCTCCATTTGCTTCATTTCTTCCTCTTTTTTCCGTAAAGCTTCTTGCAATTCTTCAATTTTGAGTGCTTCATGTAGGGAGAAACACATTTTAAAAAGTCATATTAAAAATAAACACTTTAATATTGTTTGTTTAAATATAAATTAAACCCATAGCTAGTACTTATTTTTCAGTAAAGGAAAGCACAAGTCAGGATAGCAAAATGTTCTACTAATTCAGCAGACACAGTGGTTAAGTATTCAGCAACTCAA